TTTGGGCTCTGGATGGAATTTCTGACTCTTTTTTGGGCTCTGGATGGAATTTCTAACTCTTTTTTGGGCTCTGGATGGGGTTTGCTGACTCCTGAGGATGGATTTAGGCTCTGGATGGAATTTCTGACTCTTTTTTGGGCTCTGGATGGAATTTCTGACTCTTTTTTGGGCTCTGGATGGGGTTTGCTGACTCCTGAGGATGGATTTGGGCTCTGGATCTCCCATTCCCGATAAATCCCAAGTGAGGGGTGCTCATGGCTGGGCTTTGTGCCCCCCAAACTGGCACAACAAGAAACTGGGATGGCACCAGGATTTCCTTTTGCCCTTCCCCAGGATGGCCCAAGGAGCAGGAAAATCAGGATAATGAGATGGGAAGACAACTGAAAGCTCCACTCCACGTGTTTTGGGGTGAGCCACCGATCCCAAACGATCTGTGGTGTGTTCCAAAGAACCTTTTTAACCCCTGAATGGCCACTTCCAGCTCATTCCTGCTTGTGTAACTCGGGTCAGGGAACGGTTCCGGGCAAAATTCCATGGAATTCCTGAGTGGGATGGGACCACAAGGATCATCCAGGCACAGACACCCCAAAATCCCAACCTGGGAGCGGTGTCCAAGCGTTCCTGGAGGAGATTTGGGCTCCTGGGGAGCCTGGCAGTGCCCACCACCCTCTGGGGGAAGAACTTTTCCCAAAATCCCACCTAAACCTGGCACAGCTCCCGTTGTCTCCTGTCCCTGTCACAGGGAGAAGGAATTGGAGAGACCCCGAGGAGTCTCCCCTCACCTCCTCCTCTCCGGACCCTCCTTAGGTCACTTCCTAAATTTATTAAATCTATTAAATGGTGTCAATTCCTAAATGAACACAGCAAAAAACAAACGGAAAACAAGTTCCTAAATTGATTAAATCTATTAATTTATGTCAATTCCTGAATCAGCACAACAAAAACAAACCCCAAAACTCTCCCAAACTTTCAGACAGATCGATTCCTCGATCCTGCAGCCACAGAATTGGCCCCAGGAGGGAAAGAGAGGGAGAAGAACTTTACTGGAATAAAAAAAAAATACCCAAAAAGGACATTATGGTAAAAGAATGTGCAAAATGAATTAAAAATAAGCTATTTTTTAGGAATTTTCCCCCTCTGACTCCAGGAATTTCCATGGTTTGGATCCATTTTAGATCCATTGGAGCAAGGTGGAGAATCAATTCCCTCAGGAGCACAGAGCCAATATCACAGCTGGGGAAGGCTGCGAATAAAAGCATCTGAAAAAAGGGCAAAATGTCTGGAAATTTTAATAAAGGACAGTGCAATATTCATCAGTTCATCATTTCATGTCATTTTGGATCATGGAAGAATGAATAATATTAATTTCCCAGCGGACACGGGAAAAGCTTCTGCACACATTGTGGCTCCTCAGAGCTACAGCACTGAGGACTTTGCTGAAAAATCTTATTTAACTTTAAATTAAGTCGATTTTATTTTAATTTCCAGAACTTCCGCCTCCATCTGAAATGAAAAAAAAAGGTGATTTCCTTGCCTTATTTGCTATAATATTGTATTTTCTTGCCTTAAAAACTCTGGGGACATTTTGTCTCAAAGGCAACAAACCCCACCAAACTCTAGAGAGACGATTAGAAAAGAAAGGAAAAGCCTGAGGATTAAAAAGAAAAGATTTTTTATATAAACCTGGTATTTTTGGAGATAAATTTAAATATCTGAAGCTCCTATAAAGGACTTTGTATTCTTCTTCCAGAGAGCCACTTGTCACTTACAGAAACTTCATTAACACTGCAAGATTTTTGGCAGTCCTGCTGCTCATAAAGTAACTTTTAAATTTACCACACACCATTAAATTCGCTCAGAGCCCCATTTAGAGGTGCTTAAATAAGTTCAACTCTCTTATTTCTAGAGCTCCTCTCTCCTCCTGGGCTGTGGGAAATAATTTGTTTTCCAAACCATGCCCCAAATTTGTCTTTAAAAGGGAGTTTTTAGTGAGATTGGAGAGGGGGAAGATTGCTTGTGGGAGATTATGAGAGATTTATAATTATAATTCTTTTTCTTTTTTTAATGAACTGCTGGGCAAGATCTTTTGCTGGTGTACATATTAAAAAAAAAAAACAATCCAGGGAGAAAATAGATAAGTTCTTTTAAAAATCTTTTAATAGCAGAAGTAGAACAGTTTTTGGAGTCGATAATGTTTTGTACTTCCATTGGCAGCTTTCATCCATGGCACCCAGTGATTTGAAACTATAAAATATTGGATATTTTGGGTTGGGAGGGAATTAAAATCCCATCCAGTCCCAGCCCTGACACTTTGGACAATTCCAGGGATGGGGAATCCACAACTTCCCTGGCAAGCCAGAGCCCTCAGAGGAAAGAACACCAAACAATATTTATAAGGTTATTTCTATGGCTTCATTTCACATTTTGATGTGATTTGACACACAGGATAAATCCCAGTTTATGGATTTTTTTTTTCCCAATTTTGAAATAATTTGAATGATTCAAAATAATTTTGATTTTAAAAACTGAGTTGTGTGGAGGGACCTTAAAGCCCATCCAGTGCCACGGGCAGGGACACCTTCCACTATCCCAGGTTTCTCCAAACCTGGGGAGGTTTTCTATGGGAGTTATTTACAGAAGCAATATCAATTTTCTATTTATTGAAAAGCTGCGTACACTTCTGTGAAAATCACATGTGAAAGATAAAAGAAACTGGAGGGCAATAAACTGACAGAAATTTTAGGTTTTGTTTCTTTACTTTGTCATTAAGGAAAGGTTGTAGAGGGAGGAAAAGCATCCTAAAACTTTTGTTTTGATTCTTATTATTTTTTTTTTTTCTTTTTAATTACTGTTAATAGATGTCTCTTTATAGCCTTTGAAACTTTTCAGGCTGCTTTGCCTTTCTCCTAGTCCCAGCAGGAAATGGGTGAGTGCAGGGGTGATTAGCAAACACTGAACACCGCGCTCGTTAGCGCTCATTAGCGGGGAAATCTCAAATTAGAGAACCAAAACTGTCCTAGTTGAGAAGGTCACAATGCAAAGCAACGCTCTCCATTCTCAGAAGGCTCCAAGCTAGTTTTATTCATGCATGGATGCTTTTTACACATTCTTACAAAACTCTTAATTTACATTTATTGATGCTTTTTATACATTCTTACAAAACTCGTAATTTACATTTACTGATGCTTTTTATACATTCTTACAAAACTCTTAATTTACATTTACTGATGCTTTTTAT